GCAGTTATTAAGTGAATATCAAGGTCATTAAGCAATCACCGCCAATGATTCACTATTAGCCATTTGCCATTTGTCATAAAGTCAACATTGAGGTTCTTTGGTGAATCCATCATCGTCAATGGGTGCTTTTTGCCAAAAACTGGAAGTAAACACAAGCAACCCTCTCCCCCCCAAATTGTAGTTATGTGACTGTGAGATTTTGCAAATAGTTGTCAATGTAGGCTGATTGCTGAGCACCCAAAATGTAATCACATGACCATGATAGGGCAACAACCACTACAACTTTGAATCTAGGTAATAAGTCGCTCTGGGGAGGTCAGACGTAAATTTGAAAGGTTGCTAAGCAACTGTCAAAAGTGAAGGGCTACCTTTCTTTTAATTATCTTATTCAAAGAACCCATCTTATATGACTTTGTTAATCAACTACTTCAGTTCTCAAGAGATTGAGATAAAAAACGAATTATAATGAAGTACAGCAAAGTTCCAGTGGAACTGAATAACCTCCATGGAGTACACATTCATATTATTTTTATTATCTTTCGCCATCTTTAGTGCTTCCGCACACAGCAAAGCAGCAATTGCCAATATTAGGGAGGAGAAAAAAAAGCAAGATAAGTGGCTTTGAATATAACCGCAGTTAGCTGCCTCGAGGATCAAGACACAATAACTTAGATTTACTGAAAATATACTTTGCATCAAAAAGAACAGTTGATACTATCAACTAAAAAGCCTCCAGTAAATTCCATGCAACAACATCCACCTGAGTACTTGGAGAGCCTATTAAGATACCGGTAGTTTGTCTAACCTGGATGGCTGTTTGTGTGATTTAATCTAAGGCAATTACTCTTCTGGTTTCAAAAACTTACTCATAAAATTATGTGTTCTAATTCTTCAGCCTACTACCTTTGAATGATGATGACCCTGAAATGAAGGAGTCAGAAGTAATTGGCACAGGAAAGAAAATAATATAATAGGATAACAATAATACAATTTCTCCAGTTCTTTAAGTATGTATGTATCTCTATGGCTTGTAATATGTTAAACAGGATCTTCATACAACTATGCTTTATTCATCTAAGTCTCTATTTTCATAAGTTGCTAGTCGTTACACCAACAGGCTCCTTGCACTGAGAATCCTTTTCAAGCATCAGAAGAACATTCTAGAACATCTAAGAATCTTCCCTTGACAAGCCACCGAATTTCCAAGTTGCTTCTCCCTGTTGTCTCAATAGAAGCTGGTCGTGTGAGGTGATCCTATACTTGATGGCTGAGGGACCTTTTAGAGATACAGAAAGGTAAGGCATTTTGCCATTTGGAAGTCTGTTGATAAGAGGATAGAATCTGATTTTGTGAGACAGGAGAACATGAGGGAAGATGTTGCTTTTAATGAATTCATTGGGATTAATTCCAAATTCATGGAAATTCATTGGTATCCCTGAAAGAACTAAGCATTATGGTCAAAAGCCTGAATGACTGCTGCGACAGCTGACTGATGCTGTAGTCAGCTATGTGCTATGTGTTCACAATGGTGGTTAGTGGGTGCAATCCTGACATAGTGTGGCAAAATTGGTAAGAAGGTGACGTTTCATTAAGCTAAGTAGGATAGGTTTTGTGGTCTACCAAATTTGTGGTTTTGAGCTTTGCTGCAGGACTCCTACTGGGGCTTGTCCTAGCAAGATAGTTCAAGTTTTATTGTGTTTGCATCTCCAGCAAAGTACAAAACCCAACCATTGTATAATCCAGTCACAATGTTTCCATTTTTATTTTATTTTATTTTATTTTAATTTCCAATTTATATACTGCCCTTCACCCTGAGGACTCAGGGTGGTGTACAGCCAGAATTAAGAACATGAAATACAAATATTAAAAAAACAGTTAAAATATATATAAATAAATTTGGCCCAAAAATTAAAAATCACAAACCAATTTAAAACTTTTAAAAATTTCTTCTTAAGCCAGCCTGGCTTGCTGGAAAAAGTGGGTTTTAAGGGCATGGCGGAAGGCACTGAGGTCTTGGATTCTCCTTATCTCTGGGGGCAACTGATTCCAGAGGGTAGGTGCCCCCACAGAGAAGGCCCTCCCCCTGGGGGTCACCAGCCTACATTGTTTGGCTGATGGTACTCTGAGGAGGCCCTCTCTGTGGGAGCGCACGGTCGATGGGAGGTCGTTGTTAGCAGCTGGCGGTCTCGAAGATAGCTAGGCCCTATGCCATGGAGCGCTTTAAAGGTGATGACCAACACCTTGAAGCGCACCCGGAAGACCACCGGGAGCCAGTGCAGCTCGCGCAGGAGCGGTGTTACATGGGAGCGCCATTCTGCTCCCGTCACTACTTGCGCTGCTGCGTTCTGGACCAGTTGGAGCCTCCGGGTGCTCTTCAAGGGGAGCCCCATGTAGAGAGCGTTGCAGTAGTCAAGGTGAGAGGTGACAAGGGCATGAGTGACTGTGCACAGGGAATCCCAATCAAGAAAGGGCCGCAACTGGCGAATCAGGCGATTATCAGTCATCATTTTTGCATGATGACTGATGATCTCTGCAGTGGATGTCCAGAAATTCAAGCTTCTGGCTTCTATAGTTGAAGAATGAGATGCCCAGGATTCCCTGTCATTCTGCAGGGTTTGAAGGGATCTGTAAGGGTTAAGCAGCTTTAATCTTGCCAATGTAACTGGATGGGTTGAGTGAAGATGATGCTTTTACAGAACACAGAATAGTGGGGTTAGAAGGAATCTTGGAGATCTTCTGATCCAATCTCCTGATCAAGAAGGAGACCCTTTACCATTTTTTTTTGCTTTAATTTATATGCCGCCCTTCTCCAGAGACTCAGGCGGCTTACAATGCGTTAAGCAATAGCCTTCATACTTTTGTATATTTATACAAAGTCAGCTTATTGCCCCCCACAATCTGGGTCCTCATTTCACCTACCTTTGAAAGGATGGAAGTTTGAGTCAACCTTGAGTCTGGTGAGATTTGAACTTGCAGTAATTGCAAGCAGCAGTTGTTAATAACAGTGCTTTAGTCCACTGTACTACACTACTACAGGCTCTTTTACATTCCAGACAAATGGCTGTCCAATCTCTTTTTAAAAACCTCTAGTGATGGAGGACCCACAATTTTTCACGACAGGCAGCTGTACTGATTAATTGTTATCACTAATAAAATCAAATGACATAACTTTTGATAAAGTTTCTTTTACAATTCTTTAAGTAAGTTACACCCAAATAGATAACAGGCATGTGAGTAGGATGCAAGAAAAGCTACACGTAGTAAGAAATAGTATGCAATGTTTCTCATTTCTCAGCCAGCTAGGTTTAGTCACCTTTCTTGACTTTTCTTTGGAATTTCTAGTTTCTGCAAGTATTAGTCCTTCTTTAGACATGAAAGCCAGCTGGATGACTGAACCAATCACTCACTCTCCTCCAAAATCATCTCACAGGGGTGTTGTGGAGAAAATAAGAGAAGAAAGAAGTATTCAGTGATGTTGTTAGTTGCGAAGTCGTGTCTGACCCATTGCAACCCCATGGACAACATTCCTCTAGACCTTCCTGTCCTCTACTATTCCCCAGAGTCCATTTAAGCTCACGCCAGCTGCTTCATTGACTCCATCCAGCTACCTCGTTCTCTGCCGTCCCCTTTTTCTTTTGCCCTCAATTGTTCCCAGCATTAGGCTCTTCTCCAGTGAGTCCTTCCTTCTCATTAGGTGGCCAAAATATTTGAGTTTCATCTTCAGGATCTGGCCTTCTAAAGAGCAGTCAGGATTGATCTCCTCTAGGACTGACCAGTTTGATCACCTTGCAGTCCAAGGGACTCGCAGGAGTCTTCTTCAGCACCATAGTTCAAAGGGCTCAATTCTTTGGTGCTCAGCCTTCCTTGTAGTTCAACTTTCACAGCCATACATTGCAATTGGGAAAACTATAGTCTTAACTATATGAACTTTTGTTGGCAGAGTGATGTCTCTGCTTTTTAATATGCTGTCTAGATTTGCCATGGCTTTCCTCCCCAGGAGCAAGCGTCTTTCTTGACTGTAGTCCCCATCTGCGGTGAGCTTGGAGCCCAGGAAAATAAAATCTGTCACTACCTCCATTTCTTCCCCATCTATTTGCCAGGAATTGAGAGTGCTGGGTGCCATGATCTTAGTTTTCTTAATGTTGAGTTTCAAATCAGCTTAATGAGATATTTTATTTATTTGTGTCCCAACTTTATTATTATTTTTTTTTACAAATAATTCAATTCAAGAATCTTATTTTATTAGATAAAATTGCTGAATTGTATTATTTGTAAAAAAAAAAGTTGGGGTACAAATAAATAAAATATCTCATTAAAAATGCTTGAGAAATTCCACTGGCATGGTGATTTTACATGGAGGCAAAAAATACCCATGTCATTTATTTGTCTAATTTTAAAAAGCATTCTAAAAAGCAGAGACATCACCCTAACAACAAAAGTGCCTATAGTCAAGGCTATGGTTTTCCCACTTGCAATGTACGGCTGTGAAAGTTGGACCATAAGAAAGGCTGAGTGCCAAAGAATTGAGGCCTTTAAACTATGGTGCTGGAGAAGAGTCCTGTGAGTCCCTTGGACTGTAAGGCAATCAAACCGGTCAGTCCTAGAGGAGCTCAACCCTAATTGCTCTTTAGAAGGGCAGATCCTGAAGATGAAACTAAAATACTTTGGCCACTCATTGGAGAAGAGCCTAATGCTGGGAAAGATGAAGGGCAAAAGAAGAAAGGGATGACAGAGAACACGGTGGCTGGATGGAGGCTCTGAAGCAGTAGGCGTGAACTTAAATGGACTCCAGAGGATGGTAGAGGACAGGAAGGCCTGGAAGAACATTGTCCATGGGGTCACGATGGGTCAGACATGACTTTACAACTAGCAACAACAAAAACAACTGCCTACAATAGTCTTCTATGGATATCCAATTTTTTTTTTTAAAGAATTATCTCATTTTCAGGGATTTTCACTATCTTTCAACAACTTCTTTTATCTTACAGGTAGTAAGCCAGATGGGAGCTGAGAATTTCACCTCTGTTAAAGAATTCATGTTGGTGGGACTCACAAGTCATCGAGGGACCCAGCTTCTGCTCTTTGGGGTGTTCCTCCTCATCTACTTGCTTATCCTTTTTGGCAACCTGCTGATCATCATTTTGGTATGGGCTGATTCCCAGCTACATACACCCATGTACTTTTTTCTTAGCAATCTTGCTGCGATGGAGATTGGGTTGGTTACCAGCACGCTGCCTCAGATGTTGGCTCATCTGGTCACCAGGAATGGAGTTCTGTCCTTAACGCGTTGCATGCTGCAAGGTTACTTTGGATTGAACATAGGCAGTGCTGAAAGTTTGCTGTTGGGTGTCATGGCCTATGACCGTTACTTGGCCATCTGCTCTCCCTTGTTGTATGCTACAGCCATGAGCAAGCTCCACCAGGTCCTGCTTGTCAGCACATGCTGGATCATTGGCTTTGCATTTTCCATGATTTATGTCGTCAGTATTTTTCGTCATTCTTTCTGTGGTCCTAATCTCATTGACCACTTCGGGTGTGAACTGCCTATTGTGCTGAATCTTGCATGTGGTGACATAAAAATGACTAAAGCCATTGTCTCTGGTTTATCAGCATTCATGGTTTTCATCCCCCTTTCAATTATCTTGTCTTCCTATGGATTCATTCTGCATTCTATATTGAACATGCGGTCAACTGCACGAAGGAGTAAGGCCTTCTCCACTTGTGGGTCCCACCTTACCGTAGTCATCTTGTTCTATGGCACCGTTATTTCTATGTACATTATCCCCCACCCAGACTCAGGTTCTGCTCACAACATGGAAATGACCATCTGTTATCTAGTAGTTACTCCCCTGCTTAACCCTGTCATCTACACCTTGCGGAACAAGGAGATTCATTCAGCAGTGATCAAGATGGCGAGAAGATGGCGCTTAGAGCAATGAATATGACCCTGGACATCTTGCTGGGCTGGTGTTTTGTTATGTTTTCTTTCAACTGAGGGAGGCTGACTATAAAAATAATACTAGACTGTTTTAACTGTTCCTGCTCTTTTGTAAGGATGATGAGGTGGAAAAGCAGGCAGGAAAATAGACTGGAGTAGAATGGAATGGAATGGAATGGAGTGTGGAGTGTGGAGTGGAACAGAACAGAACAGAACAGAACAGAACAGAATAGTTGGAAGAGACCTTGGAGGTCATCTAGTCCAACCCCCTGCTCAGGCAGAAAACCCTGTACCATTTCAGGCAAATGGTTGTCCAATCTCTTCTTTAAAACTTCCAGTGTTGGAGCATTCACAACTTCTAGAGGCAAGTTGTTCTGAAGCAAGTAAGCCCAAATACCAGTAAATTGATATCAAAGGATGGGTAGATTGACCTTTAGTTGTTTGTATCTCTGTCACAAGATTAGGAAAGTACCAACTTCTTGCTAAATGTACTTGTATGCTTAATGACCTTTGTATCATATTATTCTGTAACACAATATTTGGCACGTGAGGAATTCTGAAACTAGCAGATGGTGTAAGATATGCAAGATATAACCCTATATGGAATATGTACCGAAAGATAACTTCTTTTTATATCCTGTTTTGATGTGCTGTATCTTGATACATATAAGGAAATGTAAAGCTTCAGTAAAACTAGAATTGCAAAACCTATAAAAGATAGACTCCGGGCATAGCCCAGGGTTCAGACTTTGCCAAACTATTACTCTGAACCTTTGCTAGCAAATAAACCTGTGTTCTCCAACTTTCGTGGTCTTGTCTCCTGATTTTGGGAACGTGGAGTTCCCGCAACAGTTCCACTGATTAATTCTTCTAATTGTCACAAAATTTCTCCTTAGTTCTAGGTTGCTTCTCTCCTTGACTAGTTTCCATCCATTGATTCTTGTTCTGCCCTCAGGTGCTTTGGAGAATAGCTTGACTCTCTCTTCTGCCACCAATAGCCTCCCACCGACCAGTTCGTTCCCACAGAGAGGGCCTCCTCAGGGTGCCATCAGCCAAGTTATGTCGGCTGGCGACGCCCAGGGGGAGGGCCTTCTCTGTGGGAGCCCCAGCCCTGTGGAATGAACTGCCCCCGGAAATTCGTAAGATCTCTGACCTCCGGGTGTTTCGCTGCGCATTGAAGACCCTGTTGTTCCGCCAGGCCGGACTATCAACACAATAGTTTTAAATTGGGGTATTTAAATTTATTGGGGTTTTAAATTTGAGCCACTTATTTAATTATTTTAAATTTTATATCATTGTTTTGTCTGTGTTTTTAAATAGGCTGTACACCACCCTGAGTCCTTCGGGAGAAGGGCGGTATAGAAATAAAATTATTATTATTATTATTATTATTCCTTGTGGCAACCCCTGAGATTTTAGAAGAGTTCTATCATGTCACTCCTAGTCCTTCTTTTCATAAATCTAGACAAAGCCAATTCCACCAACCATTTCTTATATGTTTTAGCCTTCAGGCCTTTGATCATCTTAGTTGCTCTTCTCTGAACTTTTTCCAAAGTCTCAACATCTTTTTTGTAGTATGGTGACCAAAATTGGTTGCAGTATTCTAGGTGTGGTCTTACTAGGGTTTTATAAAGCAGTATATTTGAGATTAAGGTTAATGTCAAGGTTCCAAGTAATACCCCCAATGAAAGGAGACTCCGAGGCTTGAAGTTCCTCAAAGTTCCTTTTTATTAGAGATGTCATATTGGCACATCTGGGAAAACCCGAATCTGAAAGCTTCCAGGTTTTTCCCACCCAAAGGAAAGTTCAAGTCCCTTCCCAGCACCCACACGTCCATCATATGGCCCAATCAAACCACTGTCTGAATGAGAGATACCTCCCCGTCCCAACCCTCCAGATGCAGGGCAAGATGTCCTTCACTCCCTGAGAAAGGAACGTTATTTTGACTATATATCACCCATGCTCCATACAATCCCCGCTCCCAATTTCCCACAGTAGTAAATGTGGCAGGCCTGAAGACCCAATGCAAAAGATTGCTTCCAAACCTTACATGTGGCATTTATTGACAAAATATGAACATATCCCAGAAAAACAGGAACATGTGAGAAAGGAATTCAGGATTGCCCTGTCATGATACTTTTTGGTGTAAGAGAAAGAAAGGGGAAATGCTGTTAGGTTTTCAAGATATAAACACTCCATATCAATAAAGTAGAGTTCTAATATTTCTTGTAAACTCCGTTCCTTCTCTTGGCCCTCATCAAAGGAGTGACAAAGAGTTGTGACGAAATAATTTTTGTGCTTTTGAGTAAGTCTTGATTCCTGGTGATTCTGTGAACAAGTCCATGGAGTTTTCCTAGCAATATTTTTCACCAATGGTTGTCATTGCCTTTTTCCTAGGACCGAGAAAAAGCAACTCCTTTCTCATCCAGCTAGCTTTATGCCAAAGGTTGAACTAGAGCTCACAGTCTTCCAGTTTCTAGCCTGATGTCTTAATTACACTTAACTGGTTCTTGATGAAATGATAAATTTCTCCATTAGTACAATTCAAATAGTCATTTGGACACTTTCTCATATGGAAAACAGGTAAAGAACTAAACTAACTGATCTGAGCTCCATGAATTTGGATCAGAGGTGATATTCAGCAGGTTCTGACCAGTTCTGGAGAACTGGTAGCAGAAATCTTGAGTAGTTCAGAGAACCGGTAAATACCACCTCTGACTGTCATGCCATGTCATGCCACGCCCACCAAGCCATGCCCACAGAACCAGTAGTAAAAAGTTTTGAATCCCACCACTGATCTGGATAAACACTAAAAGATGATTATAGTTATAGTATAAGTATGGTAAGAATTTCTGAATTCTTTGGGCTAAAAACAAGTTGATAGTTGCAGAAAGTAAGAAAAAGAAAGAGAAATAATACACATTAAAGCAAATGAAAAGAGAGAAACACTATCCTTGTTAAAATAAGCCTGACATTTTGTGAAATATCCCTAAATAGAACCAGTTAATATTTAACATTAATTGTTCATTCAATATTGTTATATAAAATTTGAATTTTTGTCAACCAACATTTACACTGAGTATAATATTAATCTAATTTTCTACTTCTCCAGTTAAGATTGTACTTCCAAAACAACGAATGTGACAATAGGTATAATCTTAGTACTATACATTTAGAATTATCATTTTGAAGGGCTGATAGATTTTAAACAATTTGTCTATTCTCAAAACAAAACAAAATTATAGTACTATCAATCAAATGCTAAATATATTTCATCTCAGTAGCAAAGTAATTGGAAAAAATAACTTTCTGGCCTCAAAAATAAAACCCCCATCTTATTCTACATCAAAACAAAATGGCTACCTAAATATTGATATGAGATAATAGGAATTAGTTGAACTGAATGTTTCTAAAAGCATATTGTTTTTTGGAGTAGAGTAGGGGTGTTAAACTTGCATCATCACAGCATCGTCACATGATATATCATGACTTTTTCCCTCTTTTCTAAACTGGGTGTGAGTGTGGCCATAGCATGATGCATCCGGCCTGCGGCCCATGAGTTTGACAGCCCTGGAGTAGAGTTTCTGGGGAAGAAAGGCAGACTGAAGACAGCTTCATGAAAAGCAGAGCCAACTTTTGCAGCAAAGTTTGGCTCCAATTGAAAAAAAGATGTGAAGCTGAAGAGAGTTCCAAACTGCTCTCCGTACAAATGTTTCCCATGAAAAAAACTGCATGATACCAGTGTTTCAATATTTGAGGGGCTGCCACAAAGAAGAGGGGTCGATCTATTTTCCAAAGCACCTGAAGCCAGGAAAAGAAACTATGGATGGAAAGCAAACAAGAAGAGAAGCAACCTAGAACTAAGGAGAAGATTCCTGACAGAACAATTAATCAGTGGAACAGCTTGCCTTCAGAAATTGTGGGTGCTCCATCACTGGAGGCTTTTAAGGAGATATATTTGTTTTAAACGGTATAGGGCCGTGATGGTGAACCTATGGCAAGCATGCCCAAAGTGGCACACGAAGCCTTGTTGCCCAGCACATGTGGCCTTGCCTGTTTGTCTTCCGGGTTTCTGGCACATATTCATGCGTGACGATCAGCTGTCCTTCATGCGTGCAGCAGTGCAGAAAACTGGTGTGGACATGCATGCCAGACAGCTGATTGTCTGGGATGCATTCTTGCTAGAACCCGGAAGATCGGTTTTTCCAGAGTGTGGCCCTGATGAGCGCAGCCCTGACGAGTGTGCATGTACGATGTTTCTGCGCTCACTGGTATAGGGTCTGCCTGGAAAGTCATTGTGTGAGTACTGTCAATATTTAATACAAGAAAATGAAGATGTATTTTTTAAGAATTTAAAATAAACAGCAATACATTGTACTGAGTTCTGACGCCACCATGTGGCAAGGGAGGAATAGAAAAGGGAGGAATAGAAAAAGAGAACGGGCCCCTGCAACAATTGAGAAGAGGGGACTACATATCAAGGATACTGGAATTGGGTCAAAACCTTGTTAATCAGTATGACTCTACCCTAGGTCAAAACTGCTGGTTGTGTTTACCTGCTAGTCCTTCATCTTATCATGCTGTCCCAGTTGAGCAAGATCTCTGGGAAAGGACAAAGGCTACCCTAGTCCTTAAAAAGGATATTAGACACAAAGCAGCAACATCAAAGTTTCAAGGAGATTTTTATAAGGCATTCCAACAGCTGGGAAAAAGCTGCCTCCCTATTGCTGGCCCAATAGCCACAGGTGTGGAACTCATAGGGTCACCTTCCCTGTGTATAAAGAGACATCAGAAACCTGGTAGGCCTATAGGATACCTGACAAAAGAACAATGTCCATCAGAAGTGTACCTTGGTCCTAGAATGAACCTTAGGGATGTAAAACTAACCAAAGATCTTTTTCCTTCTGCACACTTTCTCATCACCACCAACTGCCATCATCACAAGATGGGCAGGATGGAAGAGGTCCTGGAATGTATCCAAGGAAAGGTGCCCCAGTCTATTCCAACCCCCTTGCTTCCCTATCTGGCTTTTCATTAGGTCCAGCACAGGTTTATGTGTCTTCTTTTCCCCTGGGAATACTACCTCCCGGTATCTTTTTGAAGGTCCAATCCTCAGAGATAAGCAAAAGGACCCTTCACTAGAAGTCCCATTACAGCCACTTGCTGGAATGTTTGTGGCGGGGACTTTTGGGGTCTGGACTAATGAAAAAAACCATCGGACCCATGCTTTCTCCATGAACATAGGCATATGTGTAAAGGTAAAAGGAGTTTTCTTCTTTTGCCGGAAGGATGCGTATTTATGTTTGCCAACAATTTGGACTGGAACATGCACACTAGTACATCCTTTTTCTAAAATAGGTGTTGTCAGTGGAGAACATACCATCCCTGTTCCTCTCATGGGGCATGTTCAGAAATGGGCACCAATCCTAGTCCCACAATTAGTAATCATGGAGATAGGACCTGCAGTTGGAATAGGTATAGGTGGAGTGACACACTCAGTAATACAGTTTCAGCAATTATCAGAGGAGCTCCAAGAAAGCCTGAACCAAATTGCTGGAACCCTGGTAGAAGTCCAAGACCAGATTGATTCATTGGCACAGTGGTCCTACAAAACCAACGTGCCTTAGACTTCCTAACCGCAGAGAGAGGAGGTATGTGTATATTTCTGGGAGAATACTGTTGTTTCTATATGCATAAATTAGGTGTGGTCAGGGAAATTGCCAAGGATTTGCAGGATAGGGCTTCCAAGATAAGTCAGAGGTTACAAACAACTGACAGGTGGTTTTCTTGGTTGCCTGGATCCAGCTGGATTAAACAAATGTTATTCTTGTTGATATGGCTGTGGCAGGCCTAGCTTTTATTCCTTGTGTAATCCCTGTGCTGAAACAGCTATCTATCAGAGCAATGAAAGAGATACAGACTGCGAAGGAATTAGTTTTGACAGAGCGCTTTCTTGAAGATAAAAACTCTGAAACAGACACATATGTAGAAATGGAGTCTGGGAAAGAATGGAGGGAGTACCTCCAAGGATTAAGAGAGTGAAGATCAAGAAAACCTATCTCTGGCCTAGATTAATCATATTTTGTTAGATATTATATGTTAGCTTTGTTTATCCAAAGGAATGGAATGATATTTACTAAAGAGTTGAACATGTAAGGAATGGTGAAAGTTTCTGCATGGAAAAACTTTCAAAGTGGGGAATAATGTGGATAAAAGAAGGAATCATACACAGTAAGATACATGAACTGTAGGAAACCCTCTCTATTCACATTATTATAAGAGAGAAAAGTGCTTGCTTGAAGATTATATTAAAAATCAGATAAACCCCATTAAGTGGTAATATATCTTCTGATGAGACCTAGATGTCATGGAAGCCATATGGAAAACATCTGAGTGACCTCACTGTGAATGACACAAGGATATATATGTTACAAAGAGTTACTTAATCCAATAAATTTACCCAAGGACAGCAGTAAATTTCCCATTAGCAACTACAAGCACTTAAGGAAGGTTGTCTAAGCTAAGATAATCTTATAAACTAAAAATAATAGTTTACTAATGGTTTAGTAATTAGGAAGTGTGTCAATTATCATATGACAGGTGTGTGTTAGCCATATATGGAGAATGTATGATCTCATGTTAACCATATATGGAAACTGCATGATCTCACCAAATCCTTTGTCTTAGAAATGTATAAAAACAGTTGTATCAGAGTTCTTTCCTTGTTCAAAGCTTCAACAAAGTGTAATAAAAGTTGGAGCATTATCTTCTTGAAGTTTTTTTCTTTAAAAGCTGATATAAAATGGATATAAATATAACACTACCCGGGTGTTCCTATTGCTGTATACCATTCAGTTCTCTAAATGTTAATAATTTTAAAATGATATTTCTGAAGTCTTTGAAAAAGTTTCATGTTTAAAACTGAAGAGGAATAAGCCAGAGGTGAAGAAGCTTCTTTGATGAGAAACGAAACATCTTCAAAGAAAAAACAGAGTCTACTGCTTACATTTCACAAATTTCGATTACTCTGGAATATTGTTTATAAATCCATGTTGATCCCAACTGAACAATGAATATTTATTATCACAGATTGACCATACCATGTTGTTGTTGTTGTTGTTGTTGTTGTTGTTGTTGTTGTTGTTGTTGTTGTTAGTTGCGAAGTCGACCCATCTCGACTCCATGGACAACGTTTCTCCAGACCATCCTTCATCTACCATCCTCTGGAGTCCATTTAAGCTCATGCTGACTGCTTCAGTGACTTCATCCAGCTACCTCGTTCACTGTCGTCCCCTTCTTCTTTTGCCCTCAATCGTTCCCAGCATTAGGCTCTTCTCCAGTGAGTCCTTCCTTCTCATTTGGTGGCCAAAGTAGTTGAGTTTCATCTTCAGGATCTGGCCTTCTAAAGAGCAGTCAGGGTTGATCTCCTCTAGGACTGACTGGCTTGATCACCTTGCAGTCCAAGTGACCCTCGGGAGTCTTCTCCAGCACCATAGTTCAAAGGCCTCAATTCTTCGGCATTCTCCCTTCCTTATGGTCCAACTTTCACAGCCATACATTGCAATTGGGAAAACCATAGTATGACAACCTTGACAACCATACCATAATCTGTTCTAAAGTTTTGCCCAGTATCAATGATAGCTGACTAGTTATCGATTCCTCTTTTTCCAAAGTATTTTTTTTGAAAACAATAATGCTGGTTGGGAAATGCTGGGAATTGATGTCTGTACTTCTTGGTTGTTAAGGTTGAGAAACATTCTACCAGGAAATGTGCTTCTAAATTATCAATGACATTTGACTATGAATACATGTATAAAAGATTGCATAGTAAAAGCTACAAACAGCATGTTCTACTAGGTATACTAATAACAGATATTAGGCATTCAGACAAACTACTACAGTATTTAATTACTTCATTTACATTTCATATTTCTAAATCACCCATGTACCTCTAAGAGGGGCTGTAATATAATGTATTGTATTATTGTATTGTATTATACTACTATACTACCATCAATGAGCAGTGGTTAGAAGGCAATACTGCAGGCTACTTCTGCTGATGGCCAGCTGCCAGCAGTTCGGCAGTTCAATTTTCACCAGCTCAAAGTTGACTCAGACTTCCATCCTGCCGAGGTTGGTAAAATGAGGACCCAGATGGTTGGTGGCTGTAGGCTGACTGTAAACCACTTAGAGAGGGTTATAAAGCACTGTTCAGCAGTATATAAATTTAAATACTATTGTTCGTGTTATTGCTATTAAATACCATACAGTATGGTATGGTACAGTACGGTACCATGCCATGCCATGCCATGCCATGCCATGCCATGCCATGCCATGCTATACCATACCATACCATACCATTCATTATTCTTATTATACTTATATCACATCACATCACATCATATCATATCATGCCATATCATTATATTGTAAGATTTGAGGGACATGGATGGTTTAAAAATATGAAATTTATGAAATATAGAGGAAATAAATGAATATTGATCTTGTCTGTGGAAATCCTCATTCATTCAGGTCATCCAGGCCTACAATCTTCTCCAGATCTGGTTGAATGATGGAAAATGGAAGGAACTGAAGAAGATTTTTGGGTTGGAAGTGAAATATCTTCAAGCAAATACAAAGAAAGTCCAACTGCCTTTTGGAAAAAGCACCTTTGGGATTGAGTTTGTTTGAATGCCTGATTTTCATGAACATCATATTAAAATATTCAGCACTTATGGAAACAACAACAAAACACCAAAATGTCCATTTTCTTCTTCATAGAATCATTTAGGAGATGGATAGTGTCTTTGAGATGAGCCAAGAAATCTTTATCATGTAGTGTTGGGGCATGATACCCTCTCTCCAGATGCACATCTCAGAGAAAGAGCAAAGAATGCTGATAGGCTGGAAAATATATCAGAAGGCAAACAGAATTCTGGGAAAGGACCAAGTGTTATGTATTGAATATATATATACTTGTGTTAAGCCCTGCTAAATGAAAGTTGACCCTAACTGTTAACTCCAACTGTTTTGGAGGGAAACTTAGAACATGCATATTTGGGCGAGCTTTTTCAAGAATTATGATTGAATGAAATTACCGGCATTTTCCTGCTGTTCCTCAGTTCCAGTTTTGAGTCAATAAATGCTGCTGTAGCTATGCTGGTCTGCGTTTTGCCCTCGGAAGCCCACTACACAATAGACAGCGTAAGATAAAGAGAGTGTATAGAAAGAAACTGTGTTCATGACATTTTGGTCACCACACTATAAAAAAAACATGTTGAGACTGTAGAACAGGGATGTCAAACTCATGGCCTGCAGGCCAGATACGTCACGTGCTGACCATGCCCACCCCTGGTTTAGCGAAGGGGGAAAAAGTCCCAATATGTCATGTGACAATGACGTGACAATGTGAGTTTGACACTCCTGCTATAGAAAGAATGCTGAGTAGAACAACGAAGATGATTAGGGGACTGGAGGCAAAAACATATGAAGAATGATTACAGGAATTTAGCATGGCTAATCTAGTGAAGAGAAGGACCAGGGGAGACATGACAGCAGGGTTCCATTACTTGAGAGGTTGTCACAGAGAGGAGGAGGCCAATCTATTTTCCAGAGCACCTGAAGGCCAGACAAGGAATAATGGATGGAAACTAATCAAGGCGATATTCAACCTAGAAATAAGGAGAATTTTTCTGACAGTGAGAACACTCAACCAATGGAACAGAAGTTGCCTTCAGAAATTGTGGAAGCTTCATCAATGGAAGCTTTCAAAATGAGACTAGACTGCCATCTGTCAGAAATGGTGTAGGGTCTCCTGCTTGGGTGATGGGTTGGACTAGATGACCTACAAGGTTCGTTCCAGCTCTGTTATTCTGTAAATTCTGTTGGCTATTCATTATTTTACCTCTGTTGATACATTCAAATAATGTTCTGTCCTTGATTTAAGAAACCCAAGAGGTCAAGATGAGGAGCAACAAGGCAGGAACAATTTAGTGGAAATGCCCCTAGAGACCACAGGAATTTCATTGGGATCATGATCTCATAGCAATTTTCTTTCAAAGTTAAAGTTAAAGAGAAAAGTTAAAGAGAAAGAAAAGCAAAGAAAGTTTTGTATTCCCAATGGTATCATGCAGAATTCTTATTGATCTGTATGTGCTCATATACATTCTAAATAATTACAAGACTTCTTCAGAGAGTATATGATTCTCCTATGAGAAGAGAATAATATACTTATGTTCATGTTCTTAATGGTCATGAATATGTTGAGCTCCTTGTCACCTTTGGTGACAGTTTCTGCAGGGTCTTCCAAGAGAGAACCACCAATTCCAGAATAGATGCACAATGTCTGGCTTTCATAAAAAGCATGTGGATCATCCATCTTACTGGGCACTTTAGTAGCAACTGATAACACACTTGGCTCTTCTTCTTTTTTTTTTTTGATGGATGAAGAACATCTTGTGAAGCAGAAAGGTAAAATTCTCTTCTTCCATTGGAGAAAACAGATACATTCTTTCCTGATCTTACCTGAACAGGAGTTCCTTTATAATCTCATCATGAAATTCTGCTGAGATATCCTTTGTTTTCCTAGAAAAATAATCTGTGTTACTATAATAAAGAAAGCTTAATATGGGCATGTTCTAACTTGTTTCCTAATTTGAATTTAATTGAAGTAAAGTTTGATTAAGCAAACACAGATATTTCTTTTCTTTTGGATAGACCCTAGAACTTTTCCTCTCACAAGTATTACTTCTTAAACTGTTACTGAATGTATATATTGTGTGTCAGAATAATATTCAAGCAATGCTGAAATAGAATCTTTCAAGAAACTCATAACTATATTGTTTTATTTTGGTGCCTATCCCTGAGTTTCAAGCCAGGGATAGAACTGCCTTATGTATATTTTCCAGCATGGGAAAATGTTTGCAGTTTCTAAAACTCTGGTCATTTTTGGAGACTACTACTAAGCCTGCAAAAGTTCATAAAGTCTTATTTAAGTCAATTGCAAAAAGTCAGTCTGTCAGGACTGCAGTAACTGAAAAAAAAAAGAAAGCTTAAAATGAAGTCAAATATTTAGAATTGTCTGAGAAGCAAAAAAAAAAGAAAAAAAGAAAAAAAAAGAGCCCACTTAATTGCTATGGCAGTTGGCAAAAACAAGACTTCATCCCAATTGTTAAGATTCTCATTAACATGATATTTATACAGCAAATTTATTTTGCTCCAAATATAGGAAAACTGATAGGGAAAAAGAAGACCAGGAATAATTTTTTACCTGATCGTAGTTTTGTTGTTCCCTGCATCAAAGCACCCTTATCTTCAAATGTTGATAATATTTCCTGGAATAATTCCTGATATGAGAATGGCTATTATATTTTGGTGTAATTCCATATTTTGAAAAATGATAATCAGTCTAATTGTCCCTCATTCTTTTTCCTTCTCCTCAGACAGGAAGCCATGACAGATGCTGAGAACTTCACCTCCGTCAAGGAATTCATCCTGCTGGGACTCACCAGCCAGAGAAAAATCCAGCTTCTCCTCTTTGGGATCATTCTTATCATCTACTTGCTTACAGTTTTGGGGAACTTGCTAATCATCATATTGGTGCAGGGTGATGTAAATCTCCACACACCCATGTATTATTTTCTTTCCCAACTTGCAGGGGTAGATATCTGCTATGTTACCAGCACCATGCCTCTCATGTTGACTCAGCTCCTGGCAGATGATGGAACCATTTCTTTCACATTCTGTATGATCCAGATGTACATAGCCTTGGCTACGGCTGCTGTTGAGATTCTCCTGTTGGGGGTCATGGCCTATGACCGCTACCTGGCCATCTGCCGACCTTTACTTTACCCTGTTCTCATGGGCAAACACTGCCAGTTGCAGTTCACTTTAGCATGCTGGATCATAGCTCCTCTGATCTGTGTGATTTGCATTGTGTGCCTCATTTGCCAAAACTATTGTGGTCCCAATCGGATCGATCACTTCATATGTGAGTTGCCAGTGGTGTTGAAACTTGCATGTGGTGATACAAATATTACTGAGGACATCATTTTTGGCATAGGCTCATGTGTCCTTTTGGTTCCCCTTTCTTTTATATTGACCTCCTATGGATTTATTCTTCACTCTGTGTCACAAATGAAATCACGTGTTGGGAGGCACAAGACTTTCTCTACCTGTGTCTCCCATCTCCTTGTGGTCTCCTTGTTTTATGGCCCTTCCATCTGCATGTATCTGCTTCCAAAGACTGATTCAGCACCTAATCGCGATAAACAAATTGCAGTCTTCTATGTTGTGATCACTCCTCTCCTCAACTCTATCATTTATACTCTGCGAAATAAGGACATTCATAGGGCAGCAGCCAAGATCTTGTGAAGAAGGACCTTTGAACAAAACTTATAGGGTTTTTGTCATGATTAATGAACCTAAATAAAAAAAAGCCCTGATGATCTAACAGTGGCTGATTGTGAGTATTGCTCTGCAATAATTTGAAAGTCTGTGTTTGTCAACCTTTAAATCAACTCCATTCTGTGGATGATCTATCTCTCAGCCTAGTCTTTACTCAGTAATTGTGTTGAGATGTTAAAACCTCAAAGTGTAGCTCTTATGAAATGTGGAATATGCTGCTCTTGTTTCGACTTTCTTGGTTGTGGTGTATAAACCTTGAGAAAGTATCATGCTTTAAACCAGTGGTTCTCAACCTTCCTAATGCTGCGACCGTTTAATACAGTTCCTCATGTTGTGGTGACCCCCAACCAGGGGTGGGTTCTAAATTTTTTTACTACTGGTTCTGTGGGCGTGGCTTATTTTGTGGGCATGGCTTGGAAGTCATGTGACTGGGTGGGCATGGCTATGTGTATAGGGACTACTCAGAGGGCTGAAAAAAGTCATTTCTGACAGGTCCTCGGACTTTTGACTGGTCCTCACACTTATGACCATCCTCACATTTATCCCCGTGCAGCATTCTTAACAACCATGTCACTCATTTCACAACTGCTTCTTTTCACCATGGTGATAAGATAGGGAAAAAATGTAAAATGTGACGATAGTCGTAAATTCGAGATCTGGTCAAAAGTGCGAGGACCAGTCAAAAATAACTTTTTCAGCCCTCTGAGTAGTCCATATGCATAAAAGGATACAGCAATAGAGAGGGATGAAGGAAGGGAAGGGAAATTAGAGTAGGAGTGAGAGTAAGATAGGGAGGAAGAGAGGAGGAGAAGGAGAAAGGAAGAGGAAGTAGGGAGGAGAAGAAGAGGGGAAAGAGAAAGTAAGAAGGAAAGAAAAGAGAGAGGTGGTAGGTTTGAGGAGAAAGATTGCTGTACAATAAAAAAGATGAAAGGGAAGAAAGCCAACCCCAAACAAATATAAAGATATTAAGATAAAGAATGAATTGTTAAACTTTAAAGAATAAAAGAGAACAAATATGAATAAATAGCAATAATTAGAAACACACATACAAACATACAATGTATTTTCTTTGAACAGAGTATTTGGCCGGTTCACAAATTTAAACAGTGTTTAGTCATTTCAATTAAATTTACAATTTCTATATTCCCTTTTTGCCATATTTATTCCTCATCTATTTTTGTAAAAAAAACAATATTACCTTTCATCCTCATCTCTAATCTTAATCAAATTCAATTTTTCCCTTCTATATTATATCCCTTCCCATTGTCATCTATTTTTATATCCATCCTCACATTGGTTAATTATGTAATATTACAGTTGTTTAATATAAATTCAACATTTTAATATAAATCAATTAGTTATATAACTACCTTTTTTGTATATTAATCAATATGAACATGAATATTCCAATTATTTCCATGCAATCCAATTTCTTACAAATCAATTAATTATATTTACCAATAATAATAAACCAAATAATTTCCCCCATATATTCCTCCAAACCACAACTTAACCATTTCTGCTTTCAACACAATATACAATTAATAATATCTCAATTATTACAATTTCCTAGTTAAATAGAGCTATTTTTCTTTTGTGTTTTAAAATCTTGAACTCTCCTCTTTTTCCCTAAATTTCCCATTGTTTGCACCTACCTTTTTTGGTGAGGAAAAAGAAAAGAAATCTGCCTGCCTAATTTTCCAACGTTGCAGCAACAGCAAAGCCAACAGCCTGCTTTACTTTCAGTTTCATTTTTCAGCATAGCTAGGGGAAAAAAAATTGCTCCAGCAAGCAGCAGAGCCCTGAGCAGAACAGCTGAGAGCAAATCAGCTGAGAGTTGGGAGCCGATCTAACCAAGGGCTAATTAGCCTACGCTGAAGCTCTGCGGGCCAATAAAATTACAAAAAAACACTGAACCATTTGTTAAATTGCTGGCTCGCCCGCCCCTTGCTCACCACTATTTATTGGCAATAAATAATGGTGCAGAGGGGTGGGGCAAGCCAGCAATTTAACAAGCGGTTCAGCGGAACCCCCTAGAACTGGCAGAATCCCATCACTGGCTAAAGGGCGGCCCTTTGAAGCCCCGTGGCAAGAATTTAAACAGTTTTTTTTACTCTAGCAATCAGCTGGGACTCAGGAGGCAGCAATAGATTGGGAGTGGGCGGGGTAAGCGAAGTCCAGCGATCCAAAAGAGCAGAGAGTGAGGGTGAGTGAAGGAGTAGGGGGGGCGAGAGAGGGCTTTGGCGACCTCTGTGAAATGGCCGTTGGACCCCCAAAGGGGTCGCAACCCCCAGGTTGAGAACCGTTGCTTTAAACTGTAGAGGAACAAATCTGATACCAAGTTAACCTCCTATAAAAATGAGGGATTATGGGATTCAGGTAGGTAAGATTTAACCTATTCCTTAGTTTCTTTATTCTTGGTATATATTTTTTGTTAGTCCATGCTGCCCTCAAAGAAACAATATCATCTTCTAGATTTTCACAAGATGGCTATATAATCTGTCCTATAATTTTTACTGGCATTATTGTTAGCTGACCAGAATAAGTCTTCATTTCTATCCAATATTTCAGAAAAAAGGGAAAATGTGCTTTGGAATATGCAGCAGTGAAATGAATGAAACTCAGGAGTAATTTCCTGACAGTTAGAACAATTAATCAATGGAACGACTAGCCTCCATAAGTTTTGGGTGCTCCAACCTTGGATGTTTTTAAGAAGAGATTGGACAACCATTTGCCTGAAATGGTATAGGGCTTCCTGCCTGAGCAGAGGGTTGGACTAGAAGACCTTCAATGTGACTTCCAATTCTATTATTCTGTTATTCTGTTCTGTTATAATTCAATGAGATTTTATTTTAGATAGGTGAGATTAAACCTATCTTTAAACATTTGTCCTATACTTTTTTTAATAAGCATTTGGTTAGCTGGTCAGAATGAGTCTACCTTTCTATCCATCACCTTAGAAAACAGCGAAAACATATTCTGGAATATGCTGCAATGGATTCAGCGATGTTTTATTTTCAGTAGACATTAATAGGATTGCATTGCAAGGTCTTCCAGAGAACATGTATCACTCATAGTGTTGAAATATTGTAGAAATCTGTCTGAATGTACCATAACAACGAACAAAACACTGTCTATGGAAGATCCTGCTCAATTTAGCACATATTGGGGGAAGATACATTGCTCTGAATGTTGTGAACTAAATTCAGGATAATATGGCTTTTTAAAAAAATAAATGACAAAGTGTAAGCTCAGAGGTCGGTGGGAAGCCATTGCTAGCAGCAGGTGGTTTTGAAGATATCCAGGTCCTATGCCATGGAGCACTTTAAAGGTGATAACCAACACCTTGAAGTGCACCCAGAAGACCACTGGAAGCCAGTGCAGCTCACGCAGGAGAGGTGCTATGTGGGAGCACCATTCAGTTGCTCCCGTAACTACCTGCGCGGCTGCATTCTGGACCAGTTGGAACCTCTGGGTGCTCTTCAAGGGGAGCCCCATGTAGAGAGCATTGCCGTAGTCCAGGTGAGAGGTGATGAGGGCATGAGTGACTGTGCACAAGGAATCCTGATCTAGGAAGGGCCTCAACTGGTGGATCAGGCGAACCTGATAAAAAGTCCCCCTGGCTACAGCCGTCAGATGTTCCTCCAAGGACAGCTGTGTATCCAGGAGGATGCCCAAATTGCGAGCCCTCTCCGTGGAGGCCAAAGACTCGCCCCCAATAGTCAGTGATGGTGTCAACTGACTATATCGGGGTGCCGGAAACCACAGCCATTCAGTCTTGGATGGGTTGAGCCTGCGCCTGTTCCTCCCCATCCAGATCCGCACGGCCTCCAGGCACCGGGACATCACTTCAAGAGCATCATTGGGGTGGTCTGGGGTGGAGATGTACAGCTGGTGTCATCAGCGTACTGGTGGTACTTCACCCTGAGGCCATGGATGATCTCACCGTGGTTTTAATTTAAAGGCGATCAATATAAATATAATACGCGGATGTGCTTGTATTGTTCTATACTATATTGTTCCCTCAACACTGTCAAACTAGTTACTAAGTCTGCACTATTATTAATCTTCTCATCATTCCTATCACCCATCTCCCCCCACTTATGACTGTATGACTGTAACCTTGTTGCTTGTATCCTTATGATTTATATTGATTGTTTCTTAATATGATTTGATTGCTTGTTTGTACCCTATGATGATCATTAAGTGTTATACCTTATGATTCTTGACAAATGTATCTTTTCTTTTATGTACTCTGAGAGTGTATGCACCAAGAGAAATTCCTTGTGTGTCCAATCACACTTGGCCAATAAAGAATTCCATTCCATTCCATTCCATTCCATTCCATTCCATTCCATTCCATTCCATTCCATTCCATTCCATTCCATTCCATTCCATTCTATGTATCTTTTTTTTTAATGTATACTGAGAGCATATGCACCAAGACAAATTCCTTGTGTGTCCAATCACACTTGGCCAATAAAGAATTCTATTCTATTCTATTCTATTCTATTCTATTCTATTCTATTCTATTCTATTCTATTCTATTCTATTCTATTCTATTCTATACCAGTTCTCCGGTAAGAATCACACTTAAAAATGAAGACAAGCAAGTCTGATACAGAATGATTCTAGGTAGAAAGGAAGTTACTGTATGGGATTCAGGCATGGGTGATATAATCTCCCAGGCTTCAAAAAACTAAGAAAGTTACAACGGCACTGAAAAAAGTGACTTACGACCGTTTTTGACGTGTATGATGTTTATAGCATCCCCTTGGTCATGTGATCGAAATTCTGATGGTTGGCATCAGATTTCTATTTATGATTGTGTCCCATGTCATGAGATCTGCTTTTGCAACCTTCTAACAAGCAGAATCAAGGGGGAATCCAGATTCATTTAACAACCATGTTACTAATTTAAGAAATGCAATGATTCACTTAACAACTGGGGCAAGAAAAGCAGTAAGATGGGTCAAACCCACTTAACAAATGTTTCACTTAGCAACATACATTTTGGGCTCAATTGTGGTCGTAACTGGA